AAAAAAAAAAAAAAAAAAAAAGAAAAGAGGCAATAATGACAGTTTTTTCTGTAGACATTCAGCTAATCCCTTCATTTTCAGCCCATGAGGCCCATCTAGATCAGACCTGGCATTGCCTAGTCTTGAACTTTTGGGGGCATCTCCTGGCGTATTGGTTCATGCTCCCCTGTTTAATGTGCATTTATAAGTGTGTCCTTGGGTTTTTCAGCTCTGCTCTATTATTTACCATTTCTTCACTGACTTTCTGTCTTCAAGAAGTATATAAAGTTTTTCCTTGCTGATGATCTATCTCTCTCACACTTTCTCTAATGTGTGGGTTGGTTGGTTAGTTGATTTTCATAGAGTCTCCTGTGAGGCTCTGTTTTCAGTTTGCCTTCTTATACTGAAAGCTTTACAAGTTTTATTATTTTATTTTTTTTTGAGACAGAGCCTCAAGTTGTCACCCTAGGTAGAGTTCCGTGGCATCACAGCTCATAGCAACCTTCAACTCCTGGGCTTAAGCGATTCTCCAGCACCTACTACACGCCCGGCTATTTTTTGGTTGTAGTTGTTTTTGTTGTTTGGCAGGCCTGGGCTGGATTCAAACCCACCAGCTCTGGTGTATGTGGCTAGTGCCTTAGCTGCTTGAGCTATAGGCACTGAGCCTAAAACAAATTTTAAAATGAATAGTCCAGGTACTGTGGTTCTCATGCCGGTAATCCCAGCACTTAGGAAGGTCAAGACAGAGGGATCTTTTGAGGCTGGGAATTCAAGACCAGCCTCAGCAACATAGTGAAACCCCATCTATACAAAATACATTTTTAAAAACTAGCCAGATATGGCATGCACCTGTAGTCCTAGCTACCTGCTTAAGCCTGGGAGTTCAAGGCTGCAATGAGCTATGATTGTATCACTGCACTCCAGCATGGTTGACAGAGTAAGACCCTGTCTGTATAAAGATCCGTAAGTAAATAAATGCAATAGATTAACATAATGTCTTTGTTTTGTTTTGTTTTTGTTTTTTTGGCTGGGCTGGGTTTTAACCCACCACCTCTGGCATATGGGGCCAGCGCCCCACTCCATGAGCCACAGGCACTGCCCAACATAATGTCTTGACAATATATTTTGACTTACTTCTATGCCAATAGGTAGCATCTCATCCTCTTAAAAGGCTGCATGGTATTCTTTTTTTTTTTT